AAAGATCTTGCACTTTCAAGAATGGAAATAATTGACTCAAAAAGTATAGCAGTTGGAGAATTTAATAGCAGATCAGAAAGATGAGGATACCCAGATAGGGACACCAGAGAAGACTAAGTAGAGGACTGGGAAACAGACTCTAATCTCTATTTAATCAACAGACAGAAGACAGACCCAGCTTCTACTCTAGAAGATGGGGTAACACTTCCACTCCTGACCTAGCCATTTGCACAGGAGGCATTCTCCATACAACTGTTCGCAGTGCATTATTAGATCAGCTAGCAGGCGGTGATCATAGACCAGTGAAATTTTCGTAAATATGAATTAAATTCCACAGGAGCAAAAACCATTGCCTCGCTAGAATTACAAATGAGCTGTTTAGACAAATGAGCTGTTTAGACAAATGAGCTCTTTAGGATATATTTTCTTTGCTGTAAAAACATAAACACACGACTTGGTAATATGAAGATAATAGTGGAAATTCTAAACAAGGCATACTACATGCATCATATGAATGCATTCCAAGAACTGCAAGGTAAAAATTTACAAACCATACTTGACCAAGGAACATTAGATTCTGGAGGGAAAAGTCGAAGAGGCCAGGAAGACAGATGAGAGAGAACGAACAACTAAAGCAAACATTTCACTGAAAGCCATCTCAGCAAAATATAAGACAATATTAAATCAAACAACTAGAAATTTACTTGCCAGAAAAAACATAAAACCTGAATTTTGACAAAGATGAAAATAAACTGTGGAAACTAGTAAAAACTATGAATAATGAAGTGCTCAGTAAATGATTTACATGACTGTACATTAAAAAATAATTTCAATTTGCATTTGTGCCTTGGGTCGGTATCACTTACTCGATATGTTCTTGCAAAATATTTTAGTAAAAATTAGTTGTCCTCATTTCCAAATTAGGAGAAAGTTTTACCAATAATGAGAAAATGACTCCTTACATCTAGCATGACATCTACATGCTCTTGGTATCTTTAACATAAAATCTGTGTCTACAAGACAAGAAAACAAAAGGGAAAACTTTATTCTTTAATGAATATGTACACTATAAAATATTTAAACACATCAGTCATTATTTACAAACAAAAATTATGAAGATGATGATGATGATGATGAGGATGATAACAGCAAACTTATATATCTTTAGCTTAGTCTAAGATTGGGGCCACCATGGTGGAGCGGCTAGAGGCTCACTTGTGGATCGGAAGGTCAGGGGTTCAGATCCTGAAGGAGCCAGACCTCCCCCCCCCCCCTCTCCCCAATGTCCTTGGCCTCCCGGTTGGCCAAGCCTTAAATAGGTACCTGGTACAGACCCGGGAAGTAAAGGCAGCCAGTATGAAATGTAGGTCTAGATCTTTATGCACAATACACCTAAAAGTGTGGAAAGGGTTCTTTACTTTTGTTTACTTCACTCAGACTCAGACAATTATAATGATAATAATAGCCATTAAAAAAATAGGTTTTCAGCTCTGTGGGAATTCTGGCTCCAGAAAATTCTGAAAAAGATAAGAAATTTTAATAATTAGTAATATTTGTATGATTATATTATGTTCTTAACTTTCATATGATTACGAGTCATAGTAGTTTTAGGAGTTGGGAGTCCCATTAGAGAGCTTATTTAGCTGCCTGTCTGGTCAGTGTGGGCTCAGAAATTTCTTTAAGTATGAAAGTGATTTAACAATATTCAGACCTTGAGATGTAGTGTGTCTAACACGGTGTTGCCTTTCCTCCACTATTTGCAATGCAGTTAATAGTTTTGACTTCATCAGCTGTGAGACTATGATGATATTTTGTCGTCATCACATTCTTCTTCTTCACCTCCTTCTTCTATTTCTTATTATTATTTTGTGTCCACCCTTAAAAAGGTGGTTGGCACAATGTGGTTTAGGGCTAAGCGGCGATATTTGCCTCTTTTGGTCCAACATATCTGATTTCAGAAAATCTCTATTTAGTCTCTTTTACGACATGCATGTTGGGGGGCAGTGGGTCTATTCTCCCACCACAGCACCCCTAAAGGGGATCCCAGAACCTGGATAGGGAGTGGCATCTCTCATACTCTGCAGAATCTCTGAAAAAATACTGACATCTGAGATCAGCGAGTTTATAAACATTATTACGCTAAAGAACTTGAAATACTGTGGCCATATTATATAGTTCCTACTTAAAAGCCCAAAGAATACATTTCTATTTACCATCCCTTGGGCCTCTGATGCTAAACCGGCTAAAACTGAAAAATTAAAGAAAAATAGGAATGGAAGGGGCATGGTTTATGGAAGAAGAGAAAAGGTTGTTCACTGTAAAGATCATCTTCATTGCACATCGAAACATGACCATAAAGAGAAAAGGTTGATCAACAAGAAGGCTGACACAGAAAAGTAGAATATGCCCTGGGCAGGAAACTGCATGAAGTAGAACTGGAAAAGGCTTGAGAATATTTTGAGTGAGTTAGAAATCTTCTTCTTTGTTTACCAGCTGTAAGCTCAGATGGAAAGTCCTGGTTGTTGGTCCATTCTGACTTTGGCTTTGCGTTTTGTGTGTACATCCGTTTTACTGACTTATTTGTGTGCAGCTGGTTGTTGTTCCTTGCTTCTCAGGCAGATGCACTTCAACTTCGAAGGAAATCCCCAATTACTTGACTCCTATATCATGCTTGTTGTGAAGGCAGTGGGTCGATTCCTGTTTTCCCCACAATGGGGAAACTAGAAACCACACAGGGACAGAGTTAGAATGAAAGCAATAATAATTGTAAAATCACATTTGATGCATTGTAGACTTCAAAGCCATTAGTAATATTTTGATAATTATATAAATTAAAATAATATGAAATATATAATATAATCCAATAATATACTCAGTAATATAAATTCAATTATTTTATTTAGAATTTCCCATTTAAATGTTGATAATATAACATATAACTGTTTAATAATAGTTTTAAATAAAAGGAAATATAATTAATGTTTACTGTTCAATAATACTATTAAAAATACAAACTACAACTGATAATTTTGTTGAAATTTAGTTGATGGAAGGACAAAAGGTTTTGTAGACTTGCATACCAAATTAATGATGCTGAAAATGAAGTAGAAAATGTAAAAGATTTTGAATACTTGGGCTCTTTAGTGAACAACTGTGGCGACTGCTCGAAAGAAGTCAGAAGAAGATTTACATTGGCAATGCAGAGATTAAATAGCCTGAAGAACCTTTGGCAAAGCACTAGTAAATTGCTTAAAGTAAAAATCTTGAGATCATGCATTTTTCCTGTGGCAACTTGCGGTTGTGAGTCTTGGACTCTCATTCAGTCACTGAGGAAAAAGATTTGAACTTTTGAAATGAAATGTTATAGAAAATTTTTTTAGAATACCATGGATCAGGAAGAGGAAAAACATCGACATTCTGAACGCGTTGACCATCAAGGAAAACTGGCTCATAAACAGCATCCTGTCCCAGAAGTTGAAGTATTTTGGACACATAAAGTGTCATGATGGCTTGGAAAAGACTGTGATGGAAGGTGCAGTTTGTGGAAGGTGAGGCAGGGGTCGACCACCGTGAAGATGGATACAAGACATTGAAGATGCATTGGCATTGAAAGCACATGGGGCTGGAGAGCTGGCTAGAGAAAGGGATGATGAAAAAATAAAGTTAATTTCTCTATTTGAGAATCTTTGTTGCTTCTGAATCTTTAACTAGTATAATGTATGCTAGACATGTTATGTCCTCTAAGATTTTAACAGTTTAATCGGGCTGCTGGCACTCGCACAAGGGAGAGGTCATCTCTCACCTGTGGAAGAAGGTAACAAGTAAAAAGATACTGAAAACCCGTACCCACACAGAATGATGCAGTAGGAAGTATCAGGTGAAAGGCAAGATAAGCAGTTAACTAAATGGTAATGGGTACTATCTGTATGGAAACTCTTCGCTGATTGTTCAATGGGTTTGGCCTGAATTATGTGATGTTGAATCTTTACCTGAGAAAGAGCCTAGCCTAAAATGGGTAGCAGATAATTTTCTGGGAAGTAAAGGTGACACTGTGATGTAGACCGCATCACAGATCTACAGCTGTTTTGTCTATAAAATACACAGGGTTAACACTGTACACCCAACATTTCCTGAGGCAAACAAAATGGTCATTCACTGTAGTTTACTCCTCCTGAAGATTCATAGGCTCCATTTTGGAAAACAAAGAATAGACCCACTTTCCCCCTCTCCCGTTTTTTCTCTGCCCCCCAAAAAGAACGTTGTTAGAGATGGCTAATTAGAGGTGTTTTCTTTAAAGTCAGAGCAACTCTGCATGAGAGGCAAGGAACCAACAGTCTGCATACAGATACTCCAGATCTGTAAAATGTATGTATTTGCAAAGCTCAAGTTCTGTATCAAGACCAAAGCCCAGAGTAGACAAACAATCAGAGTTTTCCATTGGAGTTTATAGCTGGTGAACACCAAGAAGAAGAAGAAGAGGAGGAAGAAGAAGAAGAAAAAGAAGAAGAAGAAAAAGAAGAAGACTGTACTTCACTTTATTATGCTGAGATTTCTTCTTCTTATCTATGTTCTCTGCTGGTGGTTTTCAGATAAAGTCCTCAGGCTTCTATGAAGCACTATAAGGTGACACATGTCCTACACTGATCTATACAGCTTCCACAGGAATGGTGACTGGGCAGACCTCAGATCTTTCTACTGCATGAGAAGAGCATGTCTGCATTATCTGTTCAGTATTCTGTGGTACCTGTCACATGAGGAAGGTTCTGAATCCCCACTCTTGAAATTATTGTACAGATGGCTATGGACCAGTAAGCAATAAAAATATAATGGTCTGTTGCTTTCGGACGAGGAGGTTGTCTGAATCTTAGGGATTGTGTTCTGAGGCTAGGATGTGAATCAGGCTAGCCATAAACCCCAGGACAACCTCTGAATCACCCAACCCCATTGATTTTTTCAATTTCATAATGTCTGTTATTGAAAACTGACAAAATCTTACCAGACTATAGGAGAAGATCATCACCCCAACTATTCCTCATCATGAGATCAAAGTAAGCATCACTGTCTATGCTGCAGCTGATTGCAGCATAGTAGGACATAAACTCCTCTAGGGTAACCTACATTGAATATGAGCAGATATCATCAATGCTGTATGGAATGGACTAGTGGATAATGATGAATCTCTGACAATAACACAATTGCATGACATGGGAGTAAATCATGGTGAAGAATGTCTATGCCCATCATCAAGGGCAAAGAAGACATTATAAGCAACCTTTCCTGGAAACAATTAGTAGAAGTACCTTAGAGTGGGTGCTGCGTCGCAGGGCTGAGCATGCATGGGAATGCCAAAAGTGCACTCACATCAATTGTGATAACATAACATCAAATATTCAAGCCTCAGAGGTATCAAGTTTTCCAATGTCAAACAAGTTAGAAAATCAATGTTTTCCCTGCTGTAAATCTGAACAAAAAAAGACACAAACAATATACTGTATAATAGTTTTTGCCTGGCATATTCTTCTGTATAACCTCCATCCAGATTTGTGTAAACAGAAAGACATGGTAGTGACCCTGCTCTTTCCCTGGTAAAAAATGCAGTTACTTTGAGAGTTGTTTATCTGTGTATTGAAGTTGTAAAGGATTCATCTATTTACTTCATTGTATTTATTACCTGTCAACTGTAGTGTGTGTGCATCAAGAGAGATATAGGCAAATTTGCCAGGCAATAAACTGTGCAATCAATTATATGTGTCTTCTTTGTTCAAACGGACTAGAGTTGGGAGGGGTAAAGTTTATAGATGTTCTGTGGCTGAATCAAAATCTAGCAATCTATTTTCAGTCTTCTCATTTTCCCTCGTCCTCATTTTTCCTTCTGCTTCTTCATCAACATTATCATCATCATCATCTTCTTAATTCTATTTTTTCATTTCCTCTGAAGCATGCATAGACCCTCAACAAGATGATGTCTAGTCTTTTGTAAACTCAACTGATTTGATTTTGGAAGAAAAGCTTTCAAAAGAGTAAGGTAGTGTTAAAACTGAAAGGTGCACAGACTGGCTGGCTATGCACAGTCTCGTGAAATAATGATGTATGATAAGGCAGACATAGTTAAGGTCTTATGGGAGCATGTGTACAATTCAGATGGGCATATGGATCATCACAGAGTGGTGAGAGTGATGCAGCGAGGAGTGACGACAAGATCTGTTTGATACTCCACACTCAGAGGAAAAGCAAGATGGACATACAATCAGACTGCTACTGGTACTACTGGTATAGGAATTCCGTGCTGGCTGCTGAAGATGGGGATGGAGCACTTACATGCTGTGATGTTGGTTCTTGAATCAACTCAACTCAGTTCATGTACTTTCCTTCTTCTTATAACATGACCAACTAATGATGACTGTCTCTCTCTCTGATGTTTGTGATAAGTTGTTTTCAAGCCCTGACCTTTTTCAAATCATCTAGGCTGCTCTTTTTGGCTGTCCAAGGAATTCTAAGGATTCTTCTGTAAAACCACATCTCCAAGGCCTCCAGAAATTGTTTGGATTGTTTATTAATTTTTCATGAATCACAAAAACTAGCTCTATATGGCATGCAAATTTTTTTTTCCTAACCTCCACTAACACAGATTTATTGTATAAAATCAATTCTCCACAAATTCCGAGTCTGAAAAGAAAATACAAGCATTGAAATTAAACTTTTTTAAACAGTTTATTGGTATATCATACAGAGACTATATCACAAATAATAAGTTTGTTGTATTACCACACAACACACTAGCAACTATGAACCTCTTTTAACAACAGTAAAAAGATGGAAAGTGCAATGGTATGGGCATGTATGGATATATACCAGCCTCTCCAAAATGATAAAATAAGGCTCGGTAGAGGGACAGAGGAGAAGAGACAAAGATATAACCTGGATACAGAATGTGGCTGAATGGACAGGCTTCAGACACACAAACAACAAGTGCATGGGATCTGACCAACAGAGGTGGATGGAAGTGACCAGACAGTCAACAACAACAAGTGGCCCAACAAAACATGGTCTTTTGGGACTATGATGATGATGAATACAATATTTACTCACTCGCTCGCTCACTCACTCACACACACACAAAGAAAGACAGACAGACATGCAGACAGTTTTCTGTCTGCAGTTCTCTACTCACAATGCCATCAATGTGACCTTCAGCTTCAAATGTCTTCAAGAACTCTTGGTAGACTTTGGTCTCTGACCATTCTCCACTGATGTATTTGGGATGTTTCTTGGCATTGTAGTGTTTAGCCAGATCTTTCACAGTAATGATCCCATCCCCTGCATTCAGCAAAACATTTACCGATGGAGAGAAAAACAGCAACAGTAATCATTAATTAGGGATTCAGGGAATACGGCTAGTGCTGTTGCCATGGGCTGTACAGGTTAGAATGTTTAATTTTGCCCCGACAGAAAAACTCCATCACCTTACTGAGGGTCGACCCCAGGTCCCCAGAGCCTGATGTTGCAATTGCTCGGCCAGCTGCTCCTCTGGCATGAAAAGGGTCCTTTACTTACTGTGTAACTGATCACCTGATAGCTAATGTTGTTAACATACTGACCACCTTTACTTTCCAGGATATTTCTTTGTAACCATTTTAGGCTGAGTTAACCTGGCAGCCTAGACAGATCATAATATATCTGCAGATTTGAATTCAAGACCTCCGGGCTGACAGGCAAGTGTACACTACTTCAACACCTCGGCTCTCAAACAAGTAATTAATTTATCAAACTGAGTCCCCTGAAATGCACAGAAGAATAAATCATATTTTATAGAAACAAAATCAAACTAATGCAGAAGTATTAGGAAAGCTAGAAAATAGAACTGCTAGTAGTAGTACAAGAGAAATAAATATTTTGGCCACACCAAAAGGCATAGCTTTTTCAACAATAACAAAATAGTGTCAGGAAAAGTAAAAGATATGTGAACAAGAGAATGACACAGATATTTGTAAAAGATTAAATCTAAACACAGACAACGCAGTTTGACAGTGTGTACCACCAAAGTGAGAGAAACATCAGATACAATTGAAGGGAAAGGAAATCTAATGGCACTACTTGTTTGTGTCATATTGATCAGATTGGTAAAATTATTCATATTTAGTGATTTCACAAAGTACACACCTGTGTTGTCCATTTTCACAAATGCTGCTTCAACCAATTTCCTTCTTCTCTCATTCATCTTGGGCTACAAGAGACATGGTTGAGAGACACGAAACATATTTTTAGAATCTTTTATCTTGGTGGCTTATTAGATATCAAATAGGTTAACTTATGTCTTCTTCTTTTTTTCTCCTCCCCTCTTCTTTTTCTTCTTCTTCTTCTTCTTCTTCTTCTTCTTCTTCTTCTTCTTCTTCTTCTTCTGCTTCTTCTTGTTCTTCGCATACTCTGTAAGCCATATACAGTGGTATCTCGACATATGATCCTAATTCTTTCGTGACTGTGGTTCGTATCTCATAAAGTTTGTATCTTGAAACTGAATTGTCTTACAGGGTAACCAGTTAGTCTATTCTAAGATTAAAAAAAAAAAAAAACTGTTTACTGGCACATTTCCTATTGTGAGAATAACTTTCTTAGGCTGACCCTTTTCCTGTGCTTACTGTTTCACTCTCTCATCCACTTAGAGAAGAACTGCCTGGTCACCCAGGCTTACTTTTCTACATGAAGCTGAATTTGTGTCTGTTAACTTTCTCCAGTGGACAGGCTCCAGTGGACCAAGAGGTGAGGAAAAGACGCTGGCGTTGGATAGGACACACACTGAGAAAACAGGAGAACAGCATAACTAGAATGTCTTAGCATTGGAACCCACAGGGGCATAGGAATAAAGGAAGGCCAAAAAACACATGGAGAAGAGAGCTGGAGAATGAAGTTAGAAAGGTGGGGAGGACATGGGGAGAGCTCCATGCAATGGCGAAGGATAGAACGACTTGGCGTGAGTTGGTTGAGGGCCTATGCTCCATTGGGGGAATAGAATGGCAGAAGAAGAAGAACTTTCTCCTGTTAAACACCAGGATTTTTAGAATGATAAAACCAATATAGGTTTTATCTTCAGATCACCTCTTGGCATAAAAGAGCAAAGTTGGTCTGTCTTTCATTGTATTGTGTCCTTGCAATACATTTCCTTCTTTTTGATGAATGTTCTCTTGGGCATTTTTCCTCCCAAAAAGCCCAGTTTCAGCTAACCCAGTTTCTTCTGGCCAGTAACCGCCTGACTCCACAAGTTTTTGAAATTTCTTCACATACCTTTCAGCTGCATTGTTTTTTTTTAAATTTTAGCACTAGCACCTTCCTCATGTCTAACAACACCAGGTATACTGGTTCTAAACTTGAATTTCTCAAACCATCATTTGCTAGCATTAACCCTACCAGACCTGAGGCCCTGAACCTAACTTTCCCCTATACCTGAGCTCCTGGGCATTAGCGCTAAAAAACCAACATGATATACAAAACTATTCGTTACATGCAAACAAGTGGCTAGAATAAGATGAAACTTGGAGACATTGTAGAAAATAGGCTTATCTTTTATCTAGCAGCAATATTCCACCTTTGTGTGCCAATCCACTCAGGAGGATCAAGATTTTTTCACAAAGTGAGCACCAGATGTTGCTGTTTGAGGGACATCCCCCCCCCCTTCTCTTACTACCGATCCATTTCTAGATTTATAATTTTCAAGATTCTCCGCCAGCCCCTCTGGTTACACCCAGGTGCCTCATGCTCTGCAGGCCATATTAATCTTTCTCTACTGATTCAGTTGCTTGTTCCCATAGGGCCTTGACCACATCTGCTTTGTCATGTATCAATTCACCACCCAGATTCACTTGTAGAATCAATGGCTGGCAGCCAAACATCCAAAAAGCATGGCTGCCCTATATTAAATATAGCACAAAACAAATTCTTTTAATTCTGAGGACTCTCTCAGACTGTTGAATGCACTAGAACTAGCTTTATAGACACTTAGGACAACACACAAACCTGCATGGCTCTAATGAACTCCTCAAAGTCAATTGTTCCCTCGCCATCCCTGTCAAAGAACCTGAAAAGTTCATACTCCTGTTCCTTGTGAAGATTGATTCCAACATCTCGCAAGCCCTTTGAGAATTCTTCAAAGCTCAGCCTGCGGTTTCCATCATCATCCATGATGTGAAAGCGCCTTGTGAGAAGTAATGAGATAAAATTGTTTTAACACATGTAATGATGAAATAATGAGATACAGACTGCTTTAGCCCATATAATAATAAGAAAGATTGCTTCAACCTGTATGATATTAATGAAATATAGATTGCTGCTACCTATAATAATGAGATATAAATTGCTTCAATCTATATAATAATAATAAGATATAGGCTGCTCCATCTTACGAAATAATAATTATAGATTGTTTCAACCTGTATAATAACAATGAGATATAGACTGCTTTTACATATATATAATAAAGAATTAATGAGATACAAATTGCTTCAATTTATATAATCATAAAACAAATGTGAACTGTTTTAGTCTCTGACTTCAATAGAGCCTGTTTAAACATACGGCTGTAATTCCTGGACTATTAATAAACTAACCAAACAATTTCTTAAGGCCTAAAAATTGTGATTTTACAGAAAATTGCTTGGACAGCATTAATGAGTAACCGAAATATTTTGAAAAAAAAAAAAGAAAGTCTGGAAAATAACTTATCACAAATATCATAAGAAGACAGTCATCATTTTTTGGCCATGTAATAAGAAGAGGAGAGATCAGTGGAAAGAGAGACTGAAGAATATAATGTGAGAAGATTCTTAACAGCCTTATGTCATGACATGGAAGGATATATAGAAGGATATACAGATTCATGTAGTTAGAGATAGCAGGTTCAGAAAAGGCATTATTGCCCATGTCAGTTGGCAAGACACTAGAATATGAAACTGTCTCAAAATATATGTAAGAAATAATCATACATAATTTGCTTCCATGTAAATAACAAAGAAATAATCAGAGATACATATCTTTTACCCATGCAGTGAAGAAATAATGAGGTATAATAATGTGATTCAAATAATCATAAACAAATTGCTTTAACTCATACAATTGGGAAATATTTTGTCACAAAAGACTTTAGTAGATGAGCATTCACATAACAAACTTATTGATCTCATTCAAGAGAAAAGGAACAAAGAACTACAGCATCACACAATAACCAGTGGTAGCAGCTGTAACAAAGTCATTAAAGTATGATTTAAAAAGTTAGTATCGTATCTTTACAGGATGTTGCAGAACCAACCCCAGCATCTTTAGGCTGTTGTGGTTTTCTAGGCACATAAATTTATTTCCAGTAGTTTGCCATGCTTTCTGGATGGTTGGCTTCTTGATATCACTGTCAAAACCAACGCAAGGCACAAGGCTCACAGCTGGGATCAAACCCGGCACCCCGGCATTACGAAGTGCTTTTGTAACACCTAAGCCACAGACTCATACTTATTATTACTATTATTATTGCTATGATTATTATTACTGCTATTAATATTATTATATTACTACTTATGTATCTTGCTATTATTATTGTTATCATTATTATTGTGAATATTATGAGTGGAAGCAGCAATTGCATTGGTAATAGCACCAACAGTCTAGCACTAGTGGCTTTAGCACTAACAGCAGTAGTAACAGTCAGGGCTTTTCTTCCTAGAAAAAAAGGTGCCGGTACCATCACAGAGTGTCTGTTTCTGCAGTGTTGAAAAAAATTATACCCCCCACCCGGCAAAAAAAAAAAGTTAATTATGGGCTAGTTCTGTGGACCACTGTGTACCTTCAGCAGCAACAGTAACAGTAGTGATATATGGAGAGTAGAAGCCAAAGCAGCAGTAGTAACAGCCACAGGACAATTAAATAATGACCTGTCAATGATGAAACTGTTCTGCTCATGAGCAATTATGCTCTCTGCCTCTCCCTCCCCTCTCTCTCTCACACACACATATACACAAAACATTAAATATTTAGTAACTTTCTTCTCATCAACAGTTTTCTCATACACAGAACTAACAAATGATACCAACCGTTGAACACCTTTCAGACCACTAGCCCCTCTGGCAAGAAACTGAGCCTGAACTAGCTCCAGTGTGTTCCTGGCATGTGCCCTGTTGATCCTAGCTTTGGCCTTCAGCTCTTCATTTAGTCTGCCCATATCTGCCATTGGAATGTTCCTGAACTTATGGAGTATATTCAGGAGTAAAAACAATAGACATCATGAATATTGCAATTCACTAAAAATAAACAGTCTTTACTTTTTGTGTTTAAAATGACCTTGGCTCTCAGGTGGACCCAGCCTTAAACTGGCACCAGGTAAAGTCCTGGAAAGTAAAGATAGCTGATGTGATGCAGATAACATCATCCACCAGGTGCCGATTGATCTTTAAATATAGGTTTAGCCCTATTTGCCCAATATACCTAAAGGCGTAGAAGAAATTCCTCTACTTATTTTTTCTTTTACATTTTAACTGCCTGTATTTACAGCTCTTTTGGGCAGTGCAGGATAGTTGAAGTCTTGAGTCTGAGGATTTAGGGTCACATAGCTAGTGCAACAGACACAGATTGTGCAGGCAAGGATTTTATACTTGCTCCCTCCCCATGTGTGTTGTGCTGCCTCAGCGTGGGGGAAACAAGAATAGACAGTTACCTGCCCAACATCATGTCATAAGAGTCAACTAATTGGGAGCTTCTTTTGAAGTTGAAGTGCATCTACCTGATAGGCAAAGAATCAACAGACTGCAAACAAATAAGTCTGACTAGTAAAATGAATGTGCATGCAAAAATCAGGTTCTGGAACAAAACTAAAGTCCGGATGTGGATGAACAGCCAGAACTTTCTGCCAGAATGTCTGTATGGCTTTTTCTAACTCTCAATGACAAGGATATTTTGCACAAGATGTTTTTTATTTTATAAAATGCAGTTTTAGCCTGTCCTATTCTGTTTCTTATCTCAGTTAAGCATCTTCTATCTAATGTTATCCATGTGCCCAGATACTTAAATTTCTGTACTTGTCCCAAAATAACACCATCAACTTTTATTACACACTTAGGAATAACTTGTTTCTTTGATACCACCATTACTTCTGTCTTCCCATTATTCAAACTGAGGCCCATTCTTCCACTTTCTAATACCACAATGTCTATCATTTCCTGTAGTTCTATCTGACTTGTTGCTATCAAGACTGTGTCATCAGCATAATGTAAATTGTTTATATTGTGCCCACCAACCACAATTCCAGGCATACCAATTAAAGCTCTCATTATATATTCACTGTATATTGAAAACAAATCAGGTGACAGTACACATTCTTGTCGTACGCCCCTCTTTCTGGCAATGTCCTTAGGATGTATTTGGCATTATTTGTACCTTTTCCTTCTACAAATCCACATTGTTCATCTTATTCTTCTCATAATTATTCTAAGTAAAATCTTAGTCATGTGACTCATAAGACTTATTGTGCGATGGTCTTCACATTTTATAGTGCCTGGTTTCTTAGGCAGAGCTATAAATATGGATTTTAAAAGGTCATTTGGAATATACCCCACTATTATAAATATCATTTAAAAGTTTAGTTATTATTTCAATTTCAAAATCTCCCAGTGATTCGATTTTTTCCAGTGAGATGTTGTCTGGCCCTGGTGCTTTTCCTTTCTTCATATGATGTATTGCATCCTCAACTTCTGTAGTAATTATTGGTGGACCATCATTGTTGGTCTGCAGTTCTAAATCTGGTCTATTATCATCATACAATTCCCTTATATACTCTGTCCATCTGTTAATTATATTACTATGTCCCATTAATAAGTCACCATCTTTTGATTTCAAACATTTTTTTGAGGCATATATCTGTCTATCATTATTCTTGATTATCCATTTTTGTATCAGCATGTCAATTTCTGTATCTGTCCATTCACCTTTATAAATATCTTATCTGTTTATCTTTATATATATATATATCCACTGAAATGTATATACTGGTGCCTATAAATGTCATCTATCTACATTTATAACTACCTTAGAGCTAAATTAAAAACTACTTGAAAATGAAAGTATTAAGGTAACAATGACATTTGAACTGTCCCATTGTTATTTCTTCTATCTGAAGTATGGTCTCCCAGATAAGTTTAATTCCACTGGCATTAATATTATACATTTCTGGTACTATTTGCTGCAAACAATTCTTAAAACAACATTAATAAGGAACTGGTGTAAAAAAAAAAAAAAAGATGGTCCTTGACTTCTGAGTCGATCTAGCTGAAAATGGGTAGCAGATAATATTAATAATAATATTAATTAAATTAATATTATCCATAATGTTCTTGGGGAAGAAGGGTCGACTACTAAGTGATACAGTGATATTGATGACAAATCACATTATAATAGTAATACTATAGTATAAAAATAGTATTAATAATAATAATACTCTTCGATATCCGATTATTATCTAATCTAGCAACGAACTAGTTATGTTAGTTGTCTGCATGAAGTAGTGAATTACTTAGTTTTTGTCTTTATTTTAATTTAGGCTTATTTAGCTGACTTTAAATCTTTAAAACATAATAAACCGATGTATTTAAAACAATAGGAACCTAACCAAACCAATTTTTCAAGTTTCAAATGCATGAAACATTAAGTTTAAAGAAGTATGCTTACTTCCTTCTCAAATTAAATAAAATAGTATTTAGTATTTGAGATAAGTTTTGAAATTAGTGAATAAATCTGATTCCTCAAAGATATATATAATTAATAAAGAGACAATGTGTTGATTAGCGATTAGCACTCATATAACTAAGTAGAAAGATTTATGATTCCCTAAAGGGATATTTCGCCGGAAAAACGTCGTATTTTAAACAACTTTTTGTTTACATACAGTGCCCAGGCAACGCGAGGGAAGGTCGAGCACACTGTTTCCCGCAAATACTTTAGTCCAAAGAGCTAGCGGGTTCAAGTGTGGCCATAAATCAAATATTTATTGTTTCCGTGCAGCACAAACAGTCTGTAGGTTTGTTCAGTTAATATCCATATAAAATATTGAAAGAAGGGTTGTCTTTGTAATATCTTGGAATGACAATATAAAGTTTAAAAGAAAATAAAACAGCAATGTTTATTATCCACTCGAGTTTTCAAGTGTGAAAGTCGATCACCCATGAACCATATATATATATATATATATATATATATATATATATATATATATATATATATATATTTGTGTGTGTGTGTGTGTGTGTGTGTGTGTGTGTGTGTTAGGATAAGCATAAAAGCAGGTATTCTCACATTATACCATCCCCGCACAGAAGATAGTTAAATGTACGTTTTCATCATCTCCCGTTAGTCACACTGTAAAGAAGATGGCAATATATTGGTCACCAGACAGGCATTGAAATGGGAAGCAAGAGAGCTGAGATAACCAGGACGTCACAGAGAGAAACTGCAGGACGAATGTCTTTGCGAGAGACTTTAACCCCACCAGGACATCACACAAGCGATAAACACCCGATGACACAAAGTGCCACTATGTGGATGAGGATCAACCGTAGAGAGATCCCAGAAACCGCGTTCAGTCATTAGGCCATATTTATGGTCGGGCTATGTTGCGGCCCTCGCAGAAGCCAGGGTGGGGCTTCAAGTAATGAAAAATTGCATCTCACAAGGAGATGACAGGGTTAGGGTAATGCCTAAGCCACAGAAGCCAATTTTTTTTTAAACAAAAACGTAACCTGATCAGATAGGCACTTTAACTCTGTTTTATAGAATAATTATTTGAGTCCTTTTCTTTGAAACCGCTATTCTCCTTCTTCTGTCCTCTATCCGTTATTGGGATATATGCATTTAGCCACCTCTCAATTTTTTGTCTGCCTTTATTTCTATAATCATCTGGGTTCCAGTGCAAAGATAAATTGTTCTCAAGTTTTCTAAACGTCTGTCCTTTTCAACGCTAGCGTCTTTTCCTCACCTCTTTATCCCCTGGAACTTGATTAGTTCTCTCCCAAAACTCAGTTTTAGTGATTTTATCATACCAGCTAACTCGCTCTATTCTGCACAGGCACCAGTTACTGAATGTTTGTAGTTTATTGATAACTGCCTTAACTGATCTCCATGTTTCCGTTCTATATATACAACAGTACTAATTTAACATTTGTACTAAACATTTTAGGTTTAGTATTTAATTTATTTGGACCTCCACAAATTCCGTAGTGCTATGAAAGTTCCTTTTGCCTTTTTTATTCGTATTTGAATATCTCTGTCAGTTTCCCTATCTTTATCTACATGACTTCGGTGAAGTCCAAGCCACCGACTGTTTTGTAGAGGTCCACTGAATTATATTCATGCTGTTAGCAGTTGCTGTCTTTATAATCCAGTCTATTACCAATAAAAACAGGAGAGGCGACAAGACTCTGCCCTTCAACATCCATGTCGCACAAATATATGTTTGCAATATTTTGTATTAGTTTGATGGAAACATGGATTAGAATAGAATTAGTTAAAGTATAAAAACCTACTTAGACTTGACGAGTTAAAAGAAAATTAATGAAAGTATTTTTTTTTTCAACTCTCAAAAGAGGACATGGCCTACTCAGCCAAGTGTTTTCCTTCTTGGTTCACTATAATTCTTCATTAGCAGCAAGATTAATCCTGAAATGCTACCTAACCTGCACACCCTTTACTACTCTAGCCATACGACTCTAAATCCACAGACTCAAAAACCGCACACGTGAGCCACGCAGGCAGTAATGGCACTTGTTTTTGTCGTTAACTAGCACGAGTTTTTGTTGTAAGCTATAGAAAGAAACAGCCCTGGCAATAAACTTTGTTTCACACACACACAGACTTCATTTCTAAATTAATAAAGTTCAAATGAAAGGAACCCTGTTCAATTATGCATTATCCAAAATTTATAATGAGGAAAAGTCTTGTTTTGTTTAAACAATATTGGATTTCTTTTCAAATACGAGCTTTGAAATGATTACTGAGAAAACCTAGTTTTGTTCCTCTAAAGGGATTGAACTCGCAACATCATAATATTATTTCATCAGCGGATGTTTTATTTTAACTACCTATTTACATTCTTTACAATTTGCGAAAGGTTTATTTAGGTCCAGTCAATACTATAATATAAACACATGTTTATGAAAACAGGGCATCAACCCGAATACGTCCTTT